GGGGGGGGGGGGACTACGTGATGTACACCTGTTTTTGTTTCGGGAAAATGAAGAAAGAAGCAGCAGAACGTAGGTTAAGACCACGGGCAGCACAAAAACCATTGGCTAACCAATAGGTGATGAGTGGCTCTCTGCTTTCTCTGTTTTCTCTTTCTTTCGCATATCCGTCTTGCAAATTAGTCACATGACTGTTCATTGTACATGACGAGTAGGAAGCTGTACTGATGATTCCCACTTCTACGGCACGCAAAGTTCGACCGGTGTTTACAGCTAAGGGATGAGGCACAGGCTGCATCCTAACATGTCTTCTTACACATGACAGTTGGTCCAGTCCCTTCTATTCGATCATTTCGATTACAGCAGCTTTCGGTTAATGACGGTGAAACGAAGGCCCACAGCACTGAGATATCGGTTAATTAAAGTACCACTCGAATTGGGTTTTCCGAAGTCTTTTGTAGTTTTGAGGCATGCCTGATCCGTTGAAATCGTTAAAATTGAACGTTTGGATTTGTGATATCAGTGATTTTATGAACGTTTCTATGATACCAGTCATTTTGATGCTTTGTGAAAGTCTTCCGATTTGATGTTATCTGTTGTTTTTACCATCACTTCTGTTGACGATAAATAGTGTTTTTAAAATTGATGTGGTTGTGGGAGTTTAAGTGACCTTGAACTTGAAATTTCTTGCCCAGTTCTCCAAGCTGTCGGGATTTATAGGTCGTATTTTGCGAGTTTTTTGTAACGAGCGTCGCGCTTGTTTGTTCTAGTTTAACGTGGTAAAAATTTATACTTTTTTGTGTTTCAGATCAATTGAAGTTATCGTCAACTTTCGGGATGTCGGAACAAAAATCCTACGTGAGTTTTTTCGGTATTTTCACCACCCAAATTTTTGTTTGTGAATCAGTCGTGTATATGTGAATGTATGTAGCGTATTTATATATATGTGTACCAGTGGGTTTTTTTTTTTCTGATGCTTTTCGGCTTATTTTTGTGAAATTTTATAAAAATCCATTTATTATTTCTGTTGCATAATTTTTTAACTTTTTTTTTTTGTTTTGTTTTGCGTATTTCATGGCTCAAAACGCTTTGGATGCTTGCATGTGGCTAATACCCCGGGTACTACTGACTGATCAGTTTGGGTCTTACATGGAAAAGTTGTTGCGGTGTTTTCCGGCCAAAAATGTACCATTTGAAAAACTTGGCATTTAGCAATTATTAGAATTCGGTGGCATAACGGAGAAGCTCGACCTAAGCTAATTTCGATTTTTGCAAAAATCGTCCCTAGGACCATAATAAAAAAGTGCTGTGAAATTTTAACATGGAATAAACCGGCTTTCTAGATGATCAAGAATTTTTATCAACCAATTTAATCGTAATTTT